CCTCCCCCCCCCCCCTCTCTCTCTCTCTCTCTCACACACACACACACACAGGCCATATGACTGAGTCAAGCTTAGTTTTTCGTTTGTAGCCGACTCGCGATAAGGATTTATGGGAAACATAGTCCGGTTAGACAGCATTCCATGTAGAAAAAACATGTGTGTTAAGCTTGCTGGGACTTAGTTACACACCCTAACCAGCGCGGAAATCTACTCCAGAGTAAGACTAAGGTAGGCATGCTTTCGTTCCTTTGTTTGTGGTTGTGTTGTATTTTATGAAGTAACATTAAAAGTATATCATGTTGTTGTGACAGAAGGGAACTGGTGAACTCTGACGGAGAGACTCTGTGTGTTTGCTGTACAAACAGATATCTATCGGTGGCCATGTCTGCCCCACGGTCGTCTGTGTTTACATTCGAGTCCACCGCTCATTCCTCCCATGTGCTGAGCTCCCTGGACGAACAGCGGCGGCGGGACGTGCTGTGCGATGTCACGGTAGTGGTGGAGGGCCAGAGTTTCAGAGCCCACCGCTCGGTGCTCGCTTCCTGTAGCGAGTACTTCGCGCAGAGGATCTCCTCATTCACACAACATGGGGCGGTCGTCACTCTTCCCCAAGAGGTGAGAAATCACGTCGTGACGCCACAGAGGTGGAAATTATTACACATGCACAAGCTCACGATAACAAAATGTTTTCTGAAAGTGAAGTGAGAAAGGCGCTTGTGAGGCTCGTTTCCTCACAGGTAGTCGCAGAGTTGGGAATTTGTTTGTTGTTGTTTTTTTAAATAATAAATGAGACCGACTGTTGTTTTAAAACGCACGGAAGCGCCAACATATAATCTCTGGCGTCAGTGGACAGATCCATATAGGAAAGATCAGGTCAAACCGGTAGTAGCTAAATTTTGGTTAAAAAGTCAGACTTAGAGTACTTTTTTTTATTCAAGTAAAACCTGCTTTCATAGACAGTCAGAGACTGTCATCATATTAACAGTTAATCCTTTTTATTTCCCGAAACTTCTTTAGTTGGCATAAATCAATCTATTTTCACATGTGGACATACAGTACTTTTCCCTTCATCGTCTACTCTTACAGGAAGTACAGAATTAGGCAGAACATGCTCTTTTTAAAAGAAAATATGTATTTGACCTCTTTTACAGGTGACAGTCACTGGCTTTGAACCCTTGTTGAAGTTTGCCTACACGTCCAAACTACTCTTTGGAAAAGAGGACGTCCTAGAAATCCGAAACTCGGCGGTCATTCTTGGCTTCAAAGACCTAGATGAGGGATGCTTTGAGTTTCTGCTCCCTAAGTTCCTCTCCACCACCACCAAAGGTCCTCCTCCATTCAAGAGAAAGACCTGTTGTAAAGAGAAGAGCAAGCGGCCGCCTTCAGAGGAAAACAGCAACACAGACTCTGACAGCGTATTGTTGGATGAAAAAGAAGTACAACCAGTTGCTGAGTCATCATGCCAGCGGGAAGTGGTTCAGGACTGTAACAAATCAGTGAACAACAAAGTGGGAAGTCAGAAGAGCACAGACACAAGTGTACTAGTAGCTGAGGGAACAAATGACAGTTTTATGCAGTGTCCAAAGTATCGCAAGTTCCAGCTAGCTTGTGGGAAGGACGCTTCTGTCTCAGAGAAGAGCCTGGTCAAAACAACAGGGGTCAGGAATGACTGTGTCATCTCTGACTTGCCGTGTTCCAGCAGTGCAAACAGTAAGAATGAAACTAAGACTGAAATCTCTGGAAATTCAGTCTTAAGTGGCTACAGACAGAATAAAGGAGGGACTGATGAGCCATGGAAAATTCAAATAAATGATGGGAAGACAGAGAACTGCTTGGGCCGAGCGACAGCTCTTATGGTTAAGAAGGACGCAAATGAAGGAGGGGGCAAATGGAGCGAGAAAGTACGAGAGAATGATATTGAAATGGACGACGGGCTAGAGGGTGCAAGTGCAATCGCCTCCTTGGAAATATCCAGTGTCCAGTCAGACTCCTCAGAGTCAAGCGCAGTGCTGACTGAGAGGTCATCAGGGTTAATGCTGCACCATGGCCCTCAAAGGGCCTTGAATGAGGGTCCTGTAATCTGTAGACCACTGAGGCAGGAAAGGTTTTGTATGGACATTGAAGAAGTAATAAGCCCTATTGTACGATGGCCAATCTCCAGTCAAAACAAGGCAGAGGATAAGATAGAGGGAGAGGGGAAGAGGGTAGATAATGGCTTTCAAGAAGCAAGAAAAGAAGGAAGCAAAAATGGAAGAGTAGCCTTGCCTGTAAATAATATCACTGCGGAGAAGGAAATGGCTGAGAGCCTGGCACGGCAGCTGGGATCTGATATAGACCACTGTCAGCTCAACTTTCATGACCCCAAGGGCGGATGTCCCACCAATATAGGGGCCCAATGCCCACAGAGCACATCTTTAGAGTGGCCGAAGCATAACACCCCCAAAACAAGCTGTCCCCTTTTCCAGGATCTGGACCAAAGGAAATATTCATGGAAAGGAGAAGGGCTGTCTGAGTGTGAGGGGGCATCTCAGTCAGGTGTGTCCTCCTTTAACTCGGGGGAGGACGGCGACTCGGAGACAGAAACGGAAGGAGACAGCGAGTCCTCCGCAATAGAGAGGGCCAGGCAGGTGAGAAGTTAAAATGAATCTCTTCTCCTCTGTCCGGCCCTGCTTAGCCACGACACCTTCTTGTGTAGTTCACGTTGTTCAGAAACTGCAGTGCCTTGAGAAGCATCACCACCTTGCCTGTGGGTGACTTCACTGTGCTTGTTATAGATACCAGTTTTTGGCACATTTTATCATATTCAAATTTGCTTTCAGGCAAGAGAAAGGAGAGTTGCCGTGGAGGCTGGTTAAAAATTCACCCAGCTGCGTGTGCGTTGGGACCGTGTGTATGCGTCCAACCAGCTGGTTCAGAGTCCAGTTTAGCTTACATTCACAGCTCAGCCTGTTGAGTTAGTAATAAGTGTGAGTCAAACAACAAGTCTGAAGAAGCTCTCAAGTCCAAGCTGACCACTCGGATTGGACAAATAAGGCAGTGAGTGTGCAGACGAAGCTAAGGTCATTTCAGAGGAAAAGCTTTTATTTATAGTAGATAAAACAGTACATGGCTGATACTGTTCCAATATTTCCTGTCCCAGTTTAGCAGCAGCAGGTTTTTAGAGTTAACAATTAACACCTTGGTAAAAATGTAACTCCTTGTTCACTTTTTTTACCCGTTTACACCACTTACAGGAAGTCCCACAAGGGACTTTGAATAAAACCAAAGTAAATGAATTAAATTAAATTCGATAAATTAAAATATGCACAGCCATAAGAAATACACACTGGCCGTAATCATTTCATACCAATAGAGAAACAGTTGTTTTTTCTGTGCCATCCTGTTTTTTTGTGGGTGTTCCCATACTCACATGTTATCTAACTTCCAGCTTTCTTTGTTTATTTATCAAAGCCTCTTGTAAGACAAACAGAGACAGTCCTGTGTTGTGATGTTGTGTAAAGATTTAAAAGTATGTCATTAAGGAACACTCTTTGTCTCATTTTAGAAACGATGTCATGTAACATTTTCTTCTTCTTTTTTTTCCTGCTGGGTTTCTTCAGGTGCAGCTGCCATTCTCTGTAGACTGGATAGTGGAGCTGAGCCGAAATGACTTCCAGCAGCTGCTAAAGCAACATGCCTTCACGCGTGAACAGCTGGACTTTGTCCATGATATGAGACGACGCAGCAAAAACCGCCTCGCAGCTCAGCGATGCCGCAAGAGAAAACTGGACTGCATATATAATCTGCAGTGTGAAATCAACAAGCTGGTAAGTATGTTTCGTTTTGGGTTTTTTTA